CAACCAGAGTTTGGTGGCATTGCCAGGCCTGGGTTGAGCCAAAGCTGGAAAAATACCTATTCAAAATACCCAGAAGAACACGTCTTACAACAAAGTTTTAGACAAACTGTACGACCCGGGATTCTGACGACCCAACCTCACAGAAAACAAAAGAGTTCGTGCATGGTTCAATATCTTTCAACTCTCTTTACATCTTAAAACATCGTCCGATCCTGAAAACGTGGTCCTGACCTGACACAACAGGAGCACGCCGGAAATTGCAGCAACAGTTTTGACCTTCTGGTTATAATAACATGTTATAAGGCATGCATAGCCATGCATTCATCGATCTCGGTGACTCTTTGAGAGGCTGTAGCCAACGCTTCTCCATGTTGCAAAATGACACCCAACATAGAAAAACCATGTACACACTGTATGACACCCAACATCTTCCAAGTTGGGTATCATTTCGACACGCTAGCCGTTTGCGGCCCAAGGCACTCACGCATTCGGCGCGCCTTTTGGGAGACATCAGGGCAATCGGAGGGCGCCTGCGGCTGTGGATGGGTGGAGCAAGTTCATCGATCGAGTCCCTCAAGGGACTCAAGGGGTTAAGCCGTTGCGTTTCAAGATGACATGGTCCATGGTCTGACAAAGCATGTCTTCTATTGCGTTTGACTGCCGACCTTGCTGCAACGATGGGGCCCACGCGGGTTTGTTGTTTGACGTTCCCGGGCCGGGATTTTTGACTATGTGGTATGCTTCGGAGGTATGCTTGGGGGATCTTGGGGGTATGCTTCGTGCAGTGTGAAGACTAAAGTGGTAGCGGTTTCAGCGGGTATGCTTCGGGGGTATGCTGCGCCTAAGTCGAAAATCCCAGTCCTACATATGCCAGACACGTTTTAAAAAATCAAACAAACACTGAACATGATTGTAGTCTTAGATACATCATCTACAAATGGTGGATCACAGCCACTACAGCTAGAGAAGCTGTTGCTCACATCGTGGTCAAAAGCCCTAACGCCACTCTAGTGTTTCATCACAGAGTGTCATGTGTTTTGAAGGAGGAGCGACAACAAAGTGGTCAGAACATAAAGCCTTCTAGACACAAATTTATGAATACATGATCATCTACGCCTAGGGTCATATATGCCGCTCATGCCTTGGGGGCACTCGGAGTCTCCTGGAGCAGCGCAGCGAGATTATGCTTGAGAAACCGTATGCACCTTAGCGATTACAATGACGTCGTTCCGCCTTCACAACATAATATGAGAAATGGTTATTTTATACTATGTCGTCTGCATATTCGGGGGATTAAACGCAATAACACATGTTTTTCAATTCAATGTGTTTCAAATATTGTAATTTGAAGCTCAAATCTCCAGTGTGGCCGACGCCCTACATGCCACTTGCCAGAAGGGCTGCCACTACGTTCGACAAATCTGACATGAGTGCTGGATGAATATGGCCCGGCCCGTCTAGCGGAAGAACATATACAAATACATTTATATACATAGGGTGTGGGCGTCCTTTGACCCGTTTAGTAGATCCATTTTCAGGACCTTTTCAAGCCTTTACAAGCTTCTTGCCCCTCATGGGCTTTGCGAGATGCCTTTAGGCCGAAATGTTTGCGGCCACCGAAAGTCTCCCAGTCTCCCTATGTCTGATCCCGCGTCCACCCTGTGATTTTAAGTCTTCCAAAATATTGTCAAATCCTCCCATGATCCCTCTCCGAGCCCCTCTCCTTGAACGCGGTTGCGCTGTTCATCTTGAAGACCTCCATCGCCATTTTCCCTGTTTCAGTTGCAGGTGCCGCAGGTGTGCTTGTGTCACTCTGGCTGTCGGAAGCTGCCGCAGAAGCTGCCGCAGAAGCTACCGCAGAAGCTGCCGCAGAGGCTGCCGCTCCGGCTTCCACCAAGAGATACAGCACATCGTCTCTCTCCTACCGAGAGATTCGAAGAGTGAACGCGTGCAGCAAGGGGAGACAAAGAAAGAGAGAGAGAGAGAGCCTCGGAGAAAGGTATGACTCAATGACGAATGTCTGTCTCCGAAGCGCGCAGGTTTCGAATCATCGGCATGCCAGCACATATGGCATCTCAAGTTTCTTGTTGTAGCTCTGGAATTTTCTGGCAGCATCCCATGTCTGCTCATTCAAAGATTCTACCACGTATATCAAATATGCTGCTTCTCTAAACTTTAAACTACGGTGATGCCCGCGACTGCGAAGTTCCGTCGAACTTCCCTCTGCCGCTTCAAGTGCCCCTCACTCATTAGAGCACATTGACACCGAAGGACACCGAACCATTGGAAAACAGCAAAACGGTCTTGACTGAACCTCAGCGACACTGAAACATACAATTGGTACCGCTGCAATACGGTGATGTCAATTGAGTCACTTGTACCACCACTACCCGCGCACTGTGCCGAGACAGCGCGGAAATCGCCATTGAAAAACCGCGGTGCCTTGTAGCGCACGTGATCTAAACTCCTCACGGACGAGGTCAGGGGCACCTCAGCGCGACCTCGATCAGTGCACAGGTCGGTGCACCTGGCTTCTCTGGTTGATTTAGCACTCAGTTCCAGAAGTATCCAGAATTCATAACATCATATATACCCAACATACCTGGAAGAATGACACATTGATGCTACATGCCTTGCTGCGCTCCCAAAGCAATTTTCTCGGCTGGGTGTATCAGTAGCGCATAGTAGCACTATATATAATATAGCTTTCAGCACTCAGAGTCTGGCCCTTCTTGATGGAAACTTTGCTGTGTGCCGTAGCCCAATTGCACTTGTCCCGTGCGATTTGAATCAGCCTCAGCTGTTTTGGTTCCACCCCGCTCAATGTAAGGATATAATGAGGCAAAGAATAGCCTGTTGCCACTGTTTGCCAGTCAAACCTTAAAAAACTTGCTGGTTGAACACGTCGATGATTGTAGATGTCATCTCAAGTAGAGGGCCATTCATGGGGATGATTTATCTATCTCATATGGATCTCATCCGCTCGCAACCGTGGTGATATCTCCTGATGTTAACCTTAAATACATTCGGTATTCGACGAAATCGGAGAAACGTGCATGGGAGCATCGGATCCTTTGTTTTGAGTTGCCAGCTAGAATTTGGGCTGCCGCTTCCCCTAACAATCCCCTAGTCGCCAATGGAAGAGATTCTCACATTGACATACTTTATTTATGCAGTTATATATTATATATATGGATATATTTGGCATTGTTTGCCAATCACTCTCCTTTGGACAACACAAGTCACAGTGATATACTTTCCCCAGGTTCATGAAATATTGATCTTCGCCATGCAATATCAGGGATCGCCAGTGAAAAGGCTCGTTTGTTTCCTTGGCGAACTGAGCTTTCCGTTGTAAACAGCTGGGGCGTCCGGCTCGCTGCCTGCAAAGGGGGATAGCTAAAAAAACAGTCGATTCAACTCAGAGATGCAACTTTAGGTTCTGCTTGCCACTCCACATGCACGCCACTCACTCTAGACATTGACTCATGGTGCTATGCAGTTCAGCATTGATTTCTCAAGGCTCAAGCGAGTCTGCTCGTCATTTCTCAACGGCTGAAGCCGCTAGAGCAATGAGGCCATGTGGTCTTGATCAACCGGTTTGTGTCTTCTTAATACATGACACTGGTAAACCGTACAGTGCGGCGCCTGTCTTGTTGTGTGGCATGATGAGCTTGTGTGGTCTGTCGCCAGTATCTGGATCAGGCTCCTGCATCAGACTTTGGGAAGTGCCATTCATTCAGAAAAAGATTGATTCCCACCATAGACCCACCAGTCCAACCTTCGATTCGTACGGATGCAACACGATCGAACATCGAACCTTGAACCTAAAGAAACTAAGAACTGTCACCTTTTGAAATCTCTCTTCTATAGTGATAGTGGACCTGCGGATGAAGCGGACCCTCATCGCATTGAGAGTGACACGATGATCTGGTAGATGCCGAGCGGCACAAATCACAGGCACGTAGTCCGGGTATTTCTTTCGGAGGCTTTGAACCTGAAGCTTCTGGGGAGAGAATCTGATTAACACGGGCCAGCACAAGCCTAGAAACAGTTGCGTTTCTCTGAACATACGAGCCAGTACTGCTCATATCGCAGGATCTCATCCGGGAGTCTCACAAAAGCTCTGCAGGATACAGTAAAAGTGTTTTCCTGTGAAACAATCACAAGGTAGAAGAAGGTCATTAGATCACCTCGAGCTCGCAGGAACCTGCCATGTTCCTCCTTGGCCCGCCCAAACAAATGTTGATCTTTCAAAGAGCTTCAAGCCTTGGCAGAATCCATGGCTGTCAACGGAACCGAGCTGTCCGTGCCGCAGTTCCAGTGGCGTGGCGATCCACTCCGTCTTCCTTCGTTCTTGCTGCGAGCCAAATCTGCCGGCATTCACATCCCCAAAAGAAACGAGTGACCTGAGTGGGGAAGCCTGTTGTTGTTGGGTTACAGATTGGTCATAGACCTGGAATTTGTCCATCTGTGATCGTCCACCAGCGCCCCGGAGATTCCAACGGAGGGCTGCTGTGATGAAGCTAGCTTTGCGCATGGAAGTTGGTTAGTTTTGTTTAGTCCCAAATACTCCATGCGCATAGAGAATCCAAATTATCTTAAGACATATTAAGAATATATATAATATATAAGTACACACACAATGTAAAACCAAAAAAGAATCGGATGCTAAACATTAAAATAAACAACCACCATGGTTTCACTCACCGACATGATTCTCACACCAACTTTGAAAAACCATTTGCCATAATTTGACCAAACTCCTCGCCCAATGTTATCATTTCAAGTGTGTGTGTGTGTGTATATGTGTGTCTGGAACTGAAAGACGGGGACAAACAACTGGAGTATGCCAGTATGCGTGTTCCATCGTCTACAGGTGTTACTGTGTTACTGTTCAAATTCAGGTCCATCACTAGGTCACTAGGTTACACAATGTAGTGCTCTACAAAGGTCGAACCAAGAATGCCTTCTCGTAACTTGAGGCACCACCAGTTTGCCTGCCACCCTTTGGCGTTCCAGCTGCACCTCTGAGGCCTCAGGGATTGGCCACTTCAACCCAGGTCACTAGGCCATCTTCGCTCCATTCGGCTAAGACAGCCCGAGGGTTGGTTTGTCAGGCTGGACATGGCTGGAAGTCGGCCTCGATCACTGGGAAGACAAGCATTGGAAAAGGCATAGGGGGGGGTAGAGGAAGCTACTAGGGGCTCCTGGCATCGCTACTAGGAGCAAGGACGCTACTAGGGGCTTTTTTGGATCGCTCGGAGACAAACGGGGAAGACTCGCATCATTCACGCTCCATTTTGTGCATTTACCTCGAGACAAACTGCAGTCAAGGCGGCCTATTCTGTTGGAATGTTGGAATCTCTCTATGTTCAACGCCAAATAGGAAAATACACATGTAGGTCAAGGAAACATCGAAGCAACATGACAGGACAACAAAATTTGAAGCATGGTCAACTGTCAACATAACCTTGACTGTTACCTTTACAATAAATGACAAATCATTTGTCCCTATGGTTTTGAAACAACCTCCCCAGCAAGGTCTCCAAACCAATTGCTCCTCCTCACTCTCCAGCACATGAAGTTCCTTCTCTTGCAAAGCCTGCGACAAGATCAAAAGGTCGGGTTCCCTCCTTGACTGTACAGTGAGGCAGCAAGTCGCACTCCCTAAAGGAATCAGGCCAGAAACATGGGAGGGAGATCAATCTTGAACGAACCAAGCTGTCCAGTGATGCTCATGAAACTTGAACCAACTCCCGATAGAGAAGGTCTTGGCCATTTTCGGGTTATCCACCACCCAACCTTCCCTGGAATTGATAATGAAGCCACCCCTTAAAAAGGGCCAACACATGCCAACACCCAATTAGCGGCAGTCTCCTGGACATTGGACCTAGAACCTTAATAGACCACAAAACAAACCGTCCATTCAACCCAAATACAAACACATCACATCAAGTCTCCGCCTCCCGAGCAACTAACGCATCACAGGACCGCGGCCTTGGTCAGAAAATCATTGTTTTCTTTCGTCTTTGCCTATTCACCTCACTGCTGAAACTGCCTGTCTCCTGAAAACAAGAAACACGCACACACACACACCAAACTAGCAAGACCTAGACTCGGACCAACATCAGGACCGATTTTCACACCTGCGAAGGTCGCCTCCAAGGCCCCAACGAGGACACACGTTTGGAGGTGCCTGCGCCACGGAAGATGAAGTCAAATTCTTCTGCGGTTGTTTCACGCCATGGATTGCTACAAATTGGACTCGGGCCGACCCCATGCAACAAACATTCGGGCCCATAGGAAGTCCTGTTAAACCCAGTTAAACCGTAAATGTAACTGCACAGCTATGCCATCATTTTCCGACATGTGCTGGCGCCTTTCCCGGAAACGCCTCCGCCACTGCCTCCAACATGTTGATCCACCTGACGCCCGCGGCCGCGTCAGCATCTGACCCAACCCATTCGCAACATGACATTTTAAATTTCTAAACATAAAGATTCCAATGAAACAAACTAACTGGACATACTGGCATATCATATATATATGTGAGCCACGGTCAAAATCAATTATTTATGCTAAGGATGCTTTCTATCGTTATCGTTTTTTGGGGAAACCTTATCGGTTTTCAGCTTTTTGTTCAGCCAGATGCTTTTGGCATTCGCATTTACATTGTGGATGCATGAAGCGGAGCTACCTACCTACCTGCTGAAATCAGAAGCAGTGGATGACGAGCTTGTTCACAGCTCGCTTGTCAGCAGCGGACAAAGGCATTGCAATCTCGAGGGGTTTGTGAAATTTGGTGTACCTGTCTCTATCTTAATATTTATCGGCCTTCTGTTGGCTGGGATGTAAAGTACTAACATGTAAGTTCTCAAAAAGAAAGGCTAGACCAATGTCTTCAATAGGGAATTTAGCTGTCTTGTCAGCAGGCTCTGGGCAAGTGGCTATGAAAGCTGAAAACATATCCAAACGGTTATCGGCGAGTTATCGGTTTCGTTATCGGCATAGTGCCCACATAGAATCCGGATTTTTCAAGAGATGGCTGCAGATTATAAAAAGAAAGACAAACAGCAACAAAAATATTGATTCCGTATCATATGGCTGAAGCCGCCCACTAGGGTACTGTCAGTGGGGCTTTCATTCGACATGCAACAGGTACTGCGAGGATCTGTCAGGAATTATATTAAATACCATCATACATAGGTTATCGGTTTTTGGGGGGGGACCTTATCGGTTTCCAATACATCCTCACCCTAAGCCATTCACATCGACCTCTCCTGACTAAAGTAGTCTACACTTATTTTGACCCCACCTTATATATATAATATGTTATATAATTGTTCATCCTCACAAACCTTTCTTGCCCCTGAAAAAATGTAGCATTCCTTTTGAATTCAGTTGGTCACCTTAAATCTGGTTCAACAAACATCTGATCCCGTTCTGAACCGTTTCGGGGCAACCGAAACGTGGCCACTTGGACCCAGGAACGAAACGCGGAAGCCTGCCATGGTTTGCTACGCCTCACACGGAGCTTTGGTTTCTCACTATTTATGAACACCTTTTGTGGAGGAAATATGTCACATTGCTTCTCTTTCAAGTAATGATGCTGAAACATTTCTGTTTGGATCTGTTTGGTAAAGTACAGTAATTATACTGACAGCTCTTTGATTTGCTGAGTGCTGGGCTGCTGAAAGATTGGGGCCTTGCAGCAGCAACCCAACAACACAAGATGGCAAAGGCCCAAACATGGTCGGCGCACCCGCTTCGGTGGAGTGAACGTATGAAATGACACCGACGGATCGTGTTTGACCGCCTTTTCAAACTGAACCAAACACAAATGGAAACAACATGAAAGGCCAAACCAAACAAACATCGCAGTGAAGGATACGCAACTGAGCCAAAGTGCCACAGGGATGACAACTTGCAAATCAGTTTTTTGTTCTAAGGGATGACACACTGGCGAGAGGGAAAAAACAAATAAGGAATTTCCAGCGAGGGACTCCACAAAAAAGATCTAGAATCTAGAAACTAAATGGTGTCACCATACTCAGAAATCTTGCCCCGTGGAGCCTTGAAGGCATTGTTGACCTTCTGCCTAGTTGCTTGCTGACCTCAGTGAGTGTGTTTTGCACCGCCCTGCCCCCCCCCCGAAGGGGACAAACAATCTGAACACGTTGGGTCATGCATGGGTTCCTCAAGTCCCGCCTGAACATGTGATACTTAGATGCAAATGCAACGGATCAGCTGGTTGCTTGGAACCGGCGAGGCCATATATCTGGACCACCAAATCCCAAAAACATCCAAAAACAATGCGATAGTTCAATGCAAAGGAAAAAAACAAATGTGTTTGACCGAGTGGGGAAAAAATACACCAAACGATATGTAACATGTATATAAGTGTTGCTTGTCAAGGTGAGCAATCCTTGCTGCTTTCTTATCTTTCGTTTTGCAATGAGCGCAGGTGAAGATTGATTCCCAACATTGTTTCTTGCCATTCAGGAATGATGTTTCTGTTAATGGCAGCTTTCTTGCACTCCAGTACGGACGGTGCTCCTGGATCGAAGCGAAGAAGCAACTGACAGAAATAAGTTCCGGTGGCTTCCGAGGTGGCGGCGGGCTTGCATTTGGACCTTGTTGAGACGCAGCCTGGCCTCAGGAATCCAAAACTTGTTTGTTGGTCTCGTGCCCTCAACCTGATCCTTGAATCGCTGCGCACCTTCGCAAGTGAACATTGGTTGAATGATGTTGAACGTTGAAATTGAACATTGTTCGTTGATGTCAAAGGATGCGGCCTCTTGCAAAGCTGCTTCTTGGGATGCATAGCTCCGTTTGGCCTCTGCTTGTGCATGCGCCTGACACGGCCGGACTCACCACCAAAAAGCGCTTGTTGGACTTCATCCGCTCATGCACCCCTTCAGTCACAATTTGCCCCTTTGGAACCGCCTGTTGCTCGTTGCAATGGGTCTGAGCCTGGTGCCTAGTGACTGCCCAGCCTCTTGTGTGTTTGCTAGCCGCCGGCACTGTGCAAGCGCAGCTGTCTGAGATGCCGGATTCGCACCGTGCAGCACTGAAACAAACCGTGAGAGAATGGCTAGAACCGGCCACCTAACTCATGCATAAACTTGAGGACAGTGGGGACGAACACTAAAAAAAATCGACTTTCATATTGTCTTTTCTCGCTTTCGTGATATATTATATTGCTTCTTCCAAAATGGGTCAAGTCCGGTCAAGTCAGCGGTCACCACTCATCTGTCAAGTCCCTGCGGCCCTAGTTCCAAAAAGTCCCAACTACCCATGTTCGAGGCTCGCTTCAGAATGAAACACAATCACAATGACACAACTTATGCATTGTCTTTCTTTTATTAGTTGTGAGTCTTTGCTGCAAGTGAGTGTGACCCCTTGGACGAGTCCTGCTGTGCTTTCTCAACATGTCAAGCCGCATTTCGCTTCTGCTGTTCTCGAAGGTGCCGTTGGGCCACCCACAGCCTTGATTGCCAGCAACTTGAGGGCCACAAAAATAGAAAGCACCAATTCTCCGGGCTTGCTTTGGTCAACTGAGCGTGCAAGCATCAGAGAGCTGTATTCGTTCATAATGGTAATGCTTTTGGCAGAAATGCAACAAACCCTAAGAACTAATATATATATATATATATTATGCGAACGGATGGAAAGGTGTGCCCTGGCCCCGTTCTAGCCCTTAGTTCAACATGAAGCTCGCGCGCTAAAGCTCCTTTTTACCTGGTTGGGCACTTGAGCCAAAAGTATATGGCATGTACCTATATAGCAACTATACTGGGACCTCATCCCTATTGACACCCCCCACATCCGTACTTCGACGGGGAAGGGAGATGAGTGGATGTAAAAACCGGAGAACGAATCATGTTCTCAAAAGTGTATTGGAGGTCAACCAGTATGTCCTATTGAATTGAATTGGCAAAAGATCTTGCATTTGCCTGAAGGTCGGATCAAACAGGTAATGGAGCTACAAGCGGAAAACGTGCACCTACCTATGGTATCATGCGATTACCAGCGGTGTGACACACAATCCTATCTCACTCCCATGATGCCAAAACGGTCATCATGAATTACCCAAGATCCCTCAGTACATGAAGTACCAGAAGTGGCATGTCGGTATGACCCCAATGCTCAACCATTCGTGAGTTGTCGCATGTAGTCAGCGCCGACAAAGCCGATGTAGTCCTTGATGAGCTCAACGTTCCTCGGATTTCCCGCTCGGATCTGCTCCTCGAAGAACTTCAACTTCTGTGCTTGGATATCGGATACCTCTATGCCATAGTAGCGGCATGCAACGAGGATCTCCTTCGTGACATTCTTCCGCTCCGACTTGATGGCGGGGCTAATGTCGATGAATTTGTATGGAGCGGCACTTTCGTCATCTGGTTTCTGGTAGTAGCTATATCGGCTCGCTCCGAAGGTCTTCCTGATCAAGCGTCTGATGAAATTTGAGATGAATGCCAGTTTCTCGATGATCTCTTCCTGGGTCTCAGACCTCCGAGCCTTTGGGTCACTCATGTTACGCCGTGTGCTGCCGACCTCTTTGAGGTACTTGTGGCTAAGCCCGCAGCGGATTGCAGTGATCATCATCGGGTGAACAACGTGGGCGTGGAATTCATAGATCTGCCACGCTTCTGTTGCAAACACGTCGTTGGTCCATTTGCTCATGCCTACGACCTCGGCTCTCTGGAGACGTCTTGGAAACCCAGTATCCGGATCATTCGGTACTATTGGCCATCTATTGTACGGAGTGTCATGCCGCTGCCCATCGTCGAACTTTCGCAGTACGTCTTCACGACTTTCAAAGCAGTTGATGTCGAACGTCGCGTTGGCCAAGCTCTTGATCAACTTCATCAACCTCAGATCAAACTGCTGTGTGACTGCAAAGTTGTGGTCGATGGGGATCGCAGCTTCTTGTGGCAATTCGTCAATCGCGAAGGGGAAAGGCTGCGGAAGTTCATTTCCGTATCCATCTTGAGGGACCTCCCGATATTCGGGTTCGCCTTCAGCTTCGTCCGGCCGTTCCTTCAAAATGATAGGAACTTCCTTCCTCTCCTTCGGATTCCTCGACCTCAATGACCTCTTCGGCTGTCTTACGTGCATTCTTGATGACTTCGTCGATGTTTGCACCTGCAGCAGAGGTTGCTTCACCGGAAGAACTGGCTGGGACATCTTTCGGAGGTGATCGTTGATTGCGGTCTCTTGTCTCCTTGGGTACCACATGCGTGAGTTTCCCATTCGCGATCAAGACCGCTACGCAGTGTGGACATACCGTCAACCGCACATCGACTTCGCCAAGACAGTTAGGACATGGCCTTGAGTCATAGTCTTTCATTGCCCGGCGGTACACGATCTCCTCAAAGATTTCCTGCCACTCGGTGCTATCATATTCTGGGTATACACCACTCTCCTCGATCATACCCAATAGTTTTGAGATTTTGGCGTCGTCCTCGGAGTAGGTATCGTCCTGAACTTCAACCGCTAAACTCTCAAGCTTCTGAAAGCGTGGGATCATGATCGGGTTTCCGTATTTGGACTCCAGAACAAGGTAGCTTCCAGGGTCGGGTTCCCTATTGAGTAACCTGATCCATTCGATCTCCTCAGGCTGTCCGGGTTCCGCATTGTCGCATTGCAACCATGCCCCTTTAACCTCATCGAAGGGAACGACGTTCTCGACCAATAGAGAGCCAGTCGCTGAGATGAGAAGTCCGTACTCCTGCAGCTTCCACACCGGAATGTAGAGAACCACTGGGCGATCACTCAATGCGACCTTACGACCCAGCCAAGGTTTTCCTTTGTAGCCCTGCTCCCAGGCCCATGGCGGAAAACACGTGAAGTGGATAGAATCCCTTCCCGATGAACCGAGACCTCCTGGCACTAGCCCCCGTCGCATGATTGAAGTCAGCGCTCCAAGATTGGTAGCGTGAAATGCAGTCACCATAGATAGGGCCATGTCGTTGGTCATTCTCGATCCAATGTGGTCGATGTTGATGGTGACGTCATAACCTCCGCCGTCCGTTGAGTGTGCTGAGGTTGCTCTTACGGCCACGGGAAAGCACCACCCATTGCTGTGGTGGAGTCTTCCTTTAGAGATTCCCATGCCCTTGAGTTCGTCAATCCATTCCTTCTCCATCGGGTCATCAGGGTCATTGAGTTCATCAGGGCGAACGCGGACCGCCAACATTTGGAATCTGATCCTCTTGGTTATGCGGAAACACTCATAGTTCTGGTCGAAGAACTTCTCCAAGCGCGCCTTCTTGGTCACGGTATCTACGCTGCCGTAGTGATAACCGTCTTCCCAAACTGCATTATCACCCAACAGGTCTTCCCATGACACCCATGCGCCTTCATCGCATTTGATTGGTGTGAGTCTTCCACCTGTCCTGAACTGGCGTCCAATTCGATGTCTCAACTTCGCTCCCAATCGACGACTCAGGGCTTGGCTCGCTTGGCTGTATTCAGGTACTCGACAGTACGGAGTCGGATACTTGTGGTTGCCGTAGTCGGAGTTCGTTGCAGCGAAAGTGACTCCGTTGATCGGTACTAGTTCGACTTTCCCGACCATCGTCATGGGGTCGATCGGCTTGTATCCCTTCTCCCTCCGTGTCGGTAGGGGATAGAAGTGATGACATGCCTTTGGTGTGAGGGAGCTGGAGTGCACAAATGCCTTCTCTACGAACTCGTACACCACCCTCATATCCCTAGGGCCTACTTCCGCAAGCTTCCGCCCATTGTAGGAATGTGTCCCTCCTTCGACTCCATCAGCACTTTCGATCAAGGTGACTCCGTCATGGTCGAACATTGTCACGACTCTTGCTTTCAACATCTCTTTTCGCCTGAACTCGCTGTCGACCTTCCTATCTGGAGTAGGCGATGCTCTCTGCTTCTTCTTCTTAGGTTCCTCGGTTGGATGTCCAGATGGTACATCGTCGGGTGCAACCTCTCCCTTCACTCTCTTCTTCCAATCACTCAACACTGAGGTGACTGTAGGTGAAGATGAAGGGGTCTTCTCGCAATTGAGAGTTGTGTGTCCCGACTTCATGCAGTGGGTGCAGAATTCTGCTTGCCCGATCTTCTCCTCAAATTCGTCGATGGCTTGCAGTATTGATGTCTTCGGGTCGGACATGTCAACGTCTTGCTCCTCCTTCTCCTGTTCACATTCAGTCTCCATATCGACACCTTCGGCCTCGGGCTGGTCAGTAGCCTCTGTTCCCTGTTCTGGTTCTTTCCCAATTTCGAAGAAGTGGTCGATGTCGAATTCAGGAGGCGGCATGGTCCTCATGCGAACGAGAATCAGTGCCACGTTTGCCGCCTCTTCAGAGTGCGGATCCAAGGTCCTGATCGTCGATCGCTTTCGGTTCTCATACGTTGTCCTGTCGTACAGCGATGCAGTGACGCGCTTGATGGATTCTTCTAATCCCGTCCTCAAAGCTTCGATGTCACCCCATCCCTTGAACATGTGCCTGAAGAGTTGAGCAATTTCGAGCATGCCCAGCAGCGCTTCCACCATGTCACCTACCCGTTCCTCCGTGGGATCATCTCCGAATATAGTGCGGAATACATCGGGCTCCAGTATGGTCTTGAGGTATTTGGTGTAGCGCACGTTGCCAAGGTCATAAGATCCCTGGTAGTACTTGGCGCTGCCGACTATCTGCTTTTCCACATGGATGCTGGGTCCTCTCCTCGTTTTGAAGAAGTTCTCCGTCATTGTTGATGACAACCTGATCCCCCCGAAGAACGAGATCTCCTTCTGGAAACCTGGATTCCCGTTGAAGATGATCATCGCCTCGTGCAAGAACTTCATCAAGTCTTCGTGCGGGTTCATCTCGGAGATCATGACGGTGGGGGAAGATACCGTTTGTCCCATGCCGAAGTTGTGAAGCATTCGAGCACATGCATGGAATCGCTTCTGGACGTAGTCTTCTGCGGACATCCCACGGCACCTATTTGCTGCTCCGTTGATGCATTCTGCATAGCAATCGTCTTTCTGATCGGAGTCTACGGGATTGCAGACCAAACAGTAATCGCAGCAAATCTCCTCACCCTCCTTAAAGTCATCAATGACGTACCACCTTTGAGTCCTCGAGTATATTGGTTCTGGCTGAAGGACTCCCCAGTATTCATCCATCCATGGCATCTTGTTCTCTCTCCTTACCTTCTCCCTCTTCCTCCGCTCAGACTCATTCTCACCTGGAGGCTCCGCAGTGGACTGATATGCATGGCTTCCTCTTACGGACTCTCCGAACAAGTACTGATACAGCCTCTCTTTGTCCTGCAACACGTGTTCCAAGTTGGGATCATGGAGGCTATTCGCTTCAGTCAAGGGATCCGGTGCCATAAAACAAGAAGCGAGCATCTTTTCTCTGAACAAGTACTTTTCCATGACAGCGTGGACCAAAGAGGTTCCAGACTTCATAGAGTAGGGGTGACCGTTTCCGGCGACCGAAATGGCTCGCCAGAATCTGTCCGAC